TTTACCTTTCTCACCGCCATCGAAGGAGACATTGCCTCCTTCAATCCTTGATAGGGTTTCAAATAGCTCTTTGTTGTCCGTCATGTGATATGAGCAACCACTATCAAGGTACTACATCCCTCTACGTCGTGTTTGTGATGTTCCCTATATATATAAGATGATGTAGAAACTTTAGGTACCTAATTCTTGGGTCCTTAGGAGTTAGTGTATTTGGTACCTTTGGGTACTAATGCCATATTATAATAATTCACATTATTCTTAATTCTACAATGGGTGGATATGTGACCATGCTTCATGCAATATGTGCATACAAAGTGTTTCTTATGTGTAGAAGCATATGATCTATAATGTTCATTTCTTTGAAAATGGTAATGTCTAGAATATGCATGAATGGGTTTAATTTTACCATTAGCAATTTCTAGTCTTTTAATTTTAAATTTTAATTGTTTGTTTTCGAAATTAAGATCTCCTAATAATTCATCTTTTTGAGCAAGAGAGGATTGTAATTGCTCAATCATGGAAGCATGCAATTTTTTAAATAAAGAGTATTCTTTAACTATTCTTTTAAATTCAAAATTTAACTCTTCTAATGCGGTAGCTAGATCACATTGCATATAAAAAGATTCGCTTTCGGAGTCGGATATAATTACCTCATCTTCATTGGCCATAAAACAAATGTTATCGCTTTCGGAGTCGGATATAATTACCTCATCTTCATTGGCCATAAAACAAATGTTATGGTCATGAAGAACAAGCTTAGCTCCCTCCTCATCGCTATCTGGGTCACTTGGTTCGGATTCATCCTATCCGGCATACATCGCCCTCTTCTTCTTGTACTTCAAGTATTTCTCTTTGATCTTTGGGCAATCCTTGGCTTGATGACCCGGTTCATTGCACTCAAAATATTTTTCTATACGAGGAAAAAAATTATTGTTAGATCGGTTAAGATTTTTTTTAATTTTATTAGTTTAGAAATTCTTCTAGAGAGGTGAGCCACTTCTCTAGAAACATCGGTTTCACTATCCGAGGAGGAGGAGTCATCAATAGCTCCTTTAAGAGCAATTGTCTTCTTTTGGGATGGCTCCTCGATTACACGTGGGGGTTCTTCCTCCTTCTCCTTCTCTTTGATTTTCTTCTCATGGACCTTGAGCTTGCCAATGAGACCATCAAGGGAAAGTGTGGTGAGATCGTGAGCTTCCTCTATGGTCGTAGCTTTGGGTTCCCACACCGGAGACAATGATCGAAGAATCTTGTAGTTCATCTCTTGGGGTGACAACTTCTTATCTAAGCCATGCAATTCATTGATAATATTAGTGAAGCGAGAAAACATAGCATCAATGGATTCATTAGGAAGCATTTTAAACAATTCATAATCATGCATGAGCCCACTAATTTTTGATTCCTTAACTTGGGGGTTCCCTCATGTGTGATGCAAAGTTTGGTCCAAATCTCATATGCGGTAGCACAAGTAGAAACCCTATTGTATTCATTTGGTGTGAGGTCACAAATTAAGGCATTCATGACCTTTACATTGAGATTGGCTTGGAGCCTCTCACCATCGGTCATAGAACTAGTTTTAGGCTTTTCTACATATTTCTTTTCAATGATGTCTAGGATGTCAAGGTCAATGCAACAGAGATAGATTCTCATCCTAGCTTTCCAATATGTAAAATTACTACCGGTGAAAAATGGGGGTCTAGTGGTGGATTGTCCTTCTAACATATGCACATTCATTGAAGCCTCCATAATATCTTTTCTCTAAGGTGATTAGACCAAAAATTAATATAGAGACCAAGCTCTGATACCAATTGTTGGACTCTAGAGGGGGGGTGATTAGGGTCTTAAGGCAATAATTATGCAATAAAAATTAAGACAAGCAAACACCACAAAATATAATGCTAAAATAAAAAGAGATAAAATAGAAATCGTTATCCAAGTGACGGACGATGTGTTCACGAGGTTCGGCTCTCTAGCTTACGTCCCCGCTCCCCACTCTCGAGGAGAATCAACTACATAACCCGGTTTGGAAGCCGTAACTTCTTCTACACAGCGATCTCCACGAGATCTCACGACATAGTTGATCTCCACGAGATCTCACGACACAGTTGATCTCCACGATATCACCACACAATCAATGGTAGCAAATGAAGAATTGCTCTCTCTTACAACAGCCCTATGGTAAGGAGAGGGATTCCACTTGAAGCTTTGGATGTGGGATGTGCAAGTGTAAAACAAGGAATTGGATTTTGAAAGTTAAGGCTCTTAAACTCAAGAATTACACACAATTGATTTTTCTCATGTAAAGTTGGTGGGAAAAATAAATGGGGTAGTTGGGTATTTATAGTGAAAAATAACAGCAGCCAAAACCCCAAAGAAATCACCAAAATCCCCCAAAATCCGGTTTTCTGAAACTAGCCGTTACTGTGCAACGACTCTCTGATAAGTCGACTTATGAGTCGACTCATGAGTCGACTTATGAGTCGACTAATGAGTCGGCTTATATGAGTCGACTCAACAGAAGAAAAATCATAACTCCGCTGCACTTCGTGAGTCGACTTATGAGTCGACTAAACATGCACAGACCAGATTTGCACAGAAAACTCAACTTAAAAACATGTTTAAAAATATCAGATAAATTCTAAAAAATGTAAAACTTTGGGAATAGTTTATAATCATTTTGACAAACTTGTTTGAAGAGGAATTTTGCAAAAAGGTCCTCGTATTTATGAAAAACATCATTTTGACAAAAGTACCAAAATACAAGTTTTGAAAGTGTGCAAGTGTGTGTGATATCCCGAATAGCTTCAAATGAAATCTACAACTACTTGCCTACAATCTAGCACTAGAGAGAAAAGAAAAACTAGCAAATATCCTCACATAGAATAACATTTCTTTGAGTCTTGATATTGCTTTGATTTGATGAAGCTTTCACTTGTATATGTTGTTCTTGATTAACATTTGCTTCATCGCATTGCCTCCACCTCCTATAGATATTGACGTTGTAACTCATATTTCATCCAATCCTCCATATATGGTACTAACAAGCTTGATATACATATTAACTATAATATCACTCAACAAGCAATTAGTACCGATAATAGTGGTTGTAAATTATCATCAAAATATAAGGGCTAACATAAGATACAATAACAATTATTATAGAATTAAAAAACTATCCGCAACTTTCATAATGCAGTAGTCTTTTCCTGTACTTAAGGTATTTACCCTAGTGATTTTCGACCGACTCAAGTCAAAAGTGACGGAAGACAAACACTGATTTCTGCACTGAACAGTGGCATCAAACAAAACAAAGCATATCTAGGGGAAAAAATTTAAAAAAAAATTATTCATTTTCTATATATATGGCGCTAGACGTGCATCATAATTTCATCAGGATGAAGTGGAGACAATCCATACCTTGTCAAGTGAAGTGCGCTTCCATGCATACCTAGCTTAGTTTTTTGAGGAGAAAGGTTCTGAAATATGAAAATTTATAAATCAAGTTACCCTTCGCATTCAACAAACTAATTAAAAGGATAATTAATTAGATGTTATGTTATATAGTTGTGAATACAATACAATATTTTGGCAATAGCACTTTATTTTTATCATATGAACCAGTAAATTTTGTGAAACTTACTGTAAATTAATTAAGATGGAGAATTTATTTTTATCACGAATAAGTTTTTAATTCCAATATACTACACAATTACGCAAAAAATAATACTTAAAAATTTTCCATTAAGATAAATAATTTCAAAGTTGTTTTCTTTATATAATATCACCATCTAGCTACAGTACACTAAGGAAATGCATAATAAAAGAACAGGAAAAAAAAAAGACGGATGCTAGCTGTTATCAGTAAAAGTAATTAACACTTGAAGAATTTAGGATAATTGATATACAATATTGGAAGGCACATTGAAAGCTTTGCAATGTATAAATTGGAAATTATTTCTGTTATCCATGAATGATTTAACAATTTTAAATACAAGATTTTGAATAGGTATACAAAATGTTTATTCTCCATATATAGTGTAGATACCATGTATTGAGAAAACAAGCTTCAGAAGGGAAAAGCTCTTCTATTATATAAAAAAAATGCAGGCATCCTTAAAAAAAGAAAAAAAAAACAGAGAATAATATCATTAACCTAGTTCCAAAAATGTGTGACAAAATTTTAATCCTTTTCTTTTATCCTTGTTTTTATTTTTTTATTTTTTAATAATGTGATATGGTTCATGTTCAAGTTGGCCGACGATGCAGAGAGCTAGCCCAGGCCTATTTTCATGGAAAAGGGCCTTAATAATGTTGTAACATCACAGTCCATTTCCCACATTAGTTGACCTTGATAGGATCTTCAGTATCGGATCCGAACTTTCTGATCCGAAACTTCTTCTTGAACCCGTTAATGTCCCGCTGGCTTTCTGTTAGGGGTGGTAAACGATCAAATCGAATCGAATACTAAGATGTTTGTATTTGTATTTGTTTAGAATTATCGAATTCGAACGTGGACTCTAATATTTATATGTCTAGTTTTTCGAATTCGAACTCGAATACTTGGTGTTTGATAAATATTCATGAATATTCACGAATCCTTATCGAATATCAAAGTATATTTATTCTGCTAAAGAATTTAATTTTCAAATAGTATTAAAATTCATAAAAAAATATTCCTTTATAATATATGATGTATATATATTTTAATCAAAATTTTAATTAGAAAAACGAATTTAAGATTATTTAAGTCTTAAAATCAGTACATAAAACTTAAGTAAAAATGATAAACGAGTTAAAAACATAACATCATACGTGCAATAATAAAATAATAAGTTGTGATCAAAATTTAAGTGAATATTTAATAGATAAACGAATCGAATATACATTTTTTTAAATTCTATTCGTTAGTAAACTCGAACATTAAAAAAATATTTATTTAGTATTAAATGAACTACCCAAACGAATATCACAGATAATTATTCAAACAATAATTATCGAAGCCTTTATTAATTATTTGCTTTGTGTTCGTCAACCCATTACCCAAAACCCCAAACTTGGCAGCCAAGGAACCTGACCCTATAAATTTCCAGCTCTTCTCCCCCTCCCTTCAACGCACGATCCCAAAAAAAAAAAGCCCCAAATCCCCAGAGAATTCCCCAGTTTCTAAAACCCTTAAGAAAAAAAAATCCCTAATCCCAAAATGTCTCTCGTTGGCCCTCCCCAACTCCGCCGGTTCCTCCGGCAACCCCGCCCTCGATTTCTTCTTCCAGGTCGTCCCCGACACCGCCGCCGATGTCGTCTTCGGGCTCCTCTCCTCGGCGTGGGCCCAGGATGCTTTGACCGCTCTCAAGCTCGTGGCCCACCTCCGTGGGGTCCGGGGCACCGGGAAGTCCGATAAAGAGGGTTTTTATGCTTCTGCTCTCTGGCTCCATGAGAACCACCCCAAAACCCTGGCTCTCAATGTTGGCTCTTTCGCTGAATTTGGATACATGAAGGATCTGCTCGAGATCCTCTACCGCCTTCTTAATGGACGGGATACTCGAAAGCTGGCCAAAGACGAGCGAAACAGAGCAAAGAGCCGTGGAGTTCAACGATGGAGGCAGCACCGGGCTTCATCGATGAAGAAGCCCAAGAAGGCCCAGAAGGCTGAGGCCAGGGAGAAGAGGGTAGAGGATGAGCTTGCAAAGATGAAGATGGAGAGCGAGAAGGCTGCAGGGCTTAGGAGGTCAAAAAGGACGGATCTTGCGAAGCTAGCTATTGAGAGGTACAACAGAGACCCAAATTATCGATTCTTGCACGATCGTATCTCGGAGTTTTTCGCAGCTATGCTGGAGTCCGACGCAGAGCAGCTGAAATTGGGGAACCTGAACAAAATCGGGCTTGCAGCAAAATGGTGCCCTTCGCTTGATTCTTCCTTCGACAGATGGACACTTATGTGTGAGAGCATCGCTCGCCGGCTGTGGCCTAAGGATTCCACAGACGAGTATAAGGAGACTGAAGAAGAGCACTATGCTTACAGGGTTCGCGATCGATTGAGAAGGGAGGTGCTTGTCCCTCTCCGCAAGGCTCTTGAGCTGCCGGAGGCATACATGAGCGCCGGGAAATGGGACCAACTCCCATACAGGAGGGTCGCCTCGGTTGCCATGAAAAACTACACGAAGATCTTCAAGAAGCACGACGAGGCTCGTTTCTCAGAGTACTTGTCAAGAGTTAAGGAAGGGAAGGAGAAGATTGCAGCTGGGGCTTTGCTCCCCCACGAGATTCTTGCTTCTGCTCATGACAAAGAGGCCGGTGATGTTGCGGAGCTTCAATGGAATAGAATGGTTCAGGATCTGCTTGAAAAGGGCAAGCTGAAGAACTGCATTGCCGTCTGTGATGTCTCTGGAAGCATGAGCGGGACTCCAATGGATGTCTGCGTCGCCCTCGGGATGTTGATTTCAGAGCTCAGCGAAGAGCCTTGGAAGGGGAGAGTGATCACTTTCAGCGCAAATCCTCAGCTTCATAGAATCGAAGGGGAGAAGCTCGTTGATAAGATGGAGTTTGTGAAGAGAATGGATTGGGGAATGAACACTGATTTCCAAAAGGTGTTCGATAGGTTGCTTGATGTGGCGAAGAAGGGGAATTTGAAGGAGGATCAGATGATAAAGAGGGTGTTTGTGTTTAGCGACATGGAGTTTGATCAGGCTTCGGCATGTTCTTGGGAGACTGACTATGAGGTGATATGCAAGAAGTTCAGGGATAACGGGTACGGGTCTTGCATACCCGAGATTGTGTTTTGGAATCTGAGGGACTCGAGGTCGACCCCGGTTCCATCTGGGCAGAAGGGAGTTGCCTTGGTCAGCGGGTTCTCGAAGAATTTGGTGAAGATTTTCTTGGAAGGGGATGGAGATTTTAGCCCGGTGACTATCATGGAGGATGCTATTTCTGGCAAGGAGTATCAGAAGCTCGTGGTGTTCGATTGAGATGGTGTAACTGCCGTTAATGCTGTAACTGTGACTTCCAAACCTTTCTTTTGAAATGAGATGCTTTAGTTAGTAGTACTTTGAATTATGCTCAGTTTTTCTGTTAAGGACTCTACAATATTCGATAATGGTGCATGTGCTTTTCCTTGATTGGTCGTTGTGTTGCTGATCTTTATCTTATTTGGTTTGCTTTATTTAATCCGTAAACACGCTTAAGCAAGTTTAGATTAGATAAAAACAATAGAGATGCCCCAACCCACAGCGAGCAAGATCACTATTTACTTTTAAGCGAGCACAAACTCATGAACACCAGTGAGATACAAACAGTAGGTCTCTTAATCACACAGAGGCCTGCAATCAACTAAAAACACAATGATAAAAATAAATTATATAAACATGACAAATATTTTCTGCAGAAAAAAGCAAACGTATATATATGGAGCCAATTTTGTAAATGATTTCCAAGATAACGTGTTACTATTTCTAGGTTCACATGCATAAGAAATTGTAACAATGATAACAAAAGAAAATGAATCATAGACAGCAGCATTTAACCTTTTGTTCTTTTCCCCACTGAAATTGAATGTGTATTCCATAGCAATCATTCATGTCTTAGCTCATTGGTCTCGTTGTCTTTTGATCACGCAATTTTCCTTTGCCATCAATGTCAAAATTAAAAATTTTGTAATCTCAAGCTATTGGTAACTATCCCAATCGTTTAGTGTTATCATGATACAATAGCTTAAGGGATTTAATTAAAACACGTAGCAGTTAAAACAGGTGATTCATTTAAAGTCACCAGTTAAGTATGAATAAAAATAGAGTTCATTTTCATGTGACATATTCTGAAGCTTTGAAATGGGTATCCTTAAATATCTTTGATTAAACACTTACATGAATGACAAAAATTTCTCTCATTCAGTTAATCTCTATTTCCTTTGAGAATTCTCAAGACCATTTCCTTAATACAGCACGTACTAAATTTTACAGGTATTCCTGCATATAAAGAACTACTAATGCTTTAAATTTTCAACTAAGAATAATACCCAGATGCTTGTCTGAAAATGGACTTGTTCAAGTTCAGTTAACCAGCATATCTAAAGTCATGAACAAACACCATTTCCTTCATTCAATGACAATCAAGATCAAACTATTCCTAGATATACCAAACAACAGGCACTAAGCTGTGATTACTCTATGGTTAATGATGACGATTAATTGTACTTCATATTTAGATACCTAAGAGTGTAACAAATATCTGCAACGCTGAACTCAGAGGGTCAGCTAATCTGAACACTGTGTTTCAATGTTTCAGATTAATGAAACCATTAGTTTAATTTTTAGGTGTGTGAAACACTGACTTTAGTTTTTCAGGTGTCTGCAACACTACAACTTAGAGAATTTTGTCAAAACTGGCGAAAATTATGCCAAATTTCTACCAAAATTTTGTTTGTGTATTGATAAAAGTATACAGAATAATTTGTCAATAATCATAAGAATTATGAAAAAAGTCACGAGTCCTCGTGACATTGTAGATTGGAGAGTTTTTCAAAAATGTATCATGCTTATATTGGTTTGAAATGGATTCAAATGAGGAATTTTAAATAAAAAGCACAGGGACCTCTATTGCCATGTCATTGAGGGTAGTATGGCCATAAACAAAAACTTAACATGGAATTTTTATTGGATGTTAAGAAATGACTTTGTAACTGAAATGTGGTGCATGAATTAAGTTGAGAAAAATAAGGAAGAGGGACCATTTCAGTATGCAGAACCCCAGAGTACAGGGACTAAAATGGCCTTTTAGCTTTATGATATTGAGGTTTTCAAATTACTATAATACTCGTAAAATCCAAATGTGATTGAAATAGGCTCTTAATTTTGGTGTACGCTTCAATATAAAAATCTTTCTTTCTTGTTTCTAGTGTTTTTAGCTTTTAGATTCCCATCTAATTTGATCTCTGGTCATTAAATTTCATTGATATAGGTATAGGATCTATATGTTGTTTCATTTACTAACTACGTCTTCTTCACTACTAATTTTGCATTTGAGTAACGTGCTTAGAATTTCTTTGTTGGCATTTAGATAGAATGCTTCCTCTGATTTTCTTGATTGGCATTGGGATTGGTAAGAAACAATTTTTCCGTGTCAAAATTTTTAAATCTTTGCCATACCATTTTGTCTAATGGGAGGATTTGATGGAAGTGTTATTTACTGTATGACTTAAACCTTCTAATTAAATGAGAATTGGAAAGTTAAATGAATGCCTACTTCTTGGAGATATCAGCGTCTTGTTTAGTTAATTACTGTTTTTTTCCCCTTCATTTGCTTTGCTTGTTTTGCTATTGGAATTTTTTATCATGCTGATTGTACTGTTTTGCTGGGGATGTTGGTTTGATAATCTCTTCTTGGCTCTCTGTCTTATTTCTCCATGCATATTTTATTAACCGAGATCTCGAGCATTTCTGATAAATCATGTTTATATCTAGGTTCATGCGACAATTTTTTCGTTATGACAGATATTACCTTGTAGTTGCTTAGTAGTCCTGATGTTTAGTCACCCTTGCTTTGAAGCGGATCGTCTGATGATTGGGTACAAAACAGATTTTCCCATATCCATACTTTCTAATATGGCATCAAAATGCTTCCGATAGAGTGAAATTCATTGATATAGTTGTTAGTTTTTCAAGTACAAGGCATTTGGGTACGTTTAGAACATGATATCAACATATTTGGTATTGGAACTAAATTCTATCCTTCTTCAGTTCTCTGTCCTCCACCAACCTACCTACTAGCTGCAAAACTTTCTACAGTAACGCATCTTATCTGCTCATGGTGCTTGTCAACGTAGTTTTATTGTCAATCTCACAGTTTCTTCTTTAATCTTATATTTAATTTCAATTCAAAGTAACTTTTATTTTTATATTTAGCGGTCATTGCAGATGTCAGTATCTGATAATTCTTTTCTGGAGGCTTTATTTATGGTTTTACATTATATATATATATTCAAGTTGATGATTCAGATCCTTTTAATATGGTTTTGGTTGCCATCAGGGTGGATACTTAAAATTTTATCTTTGTTTCGTGGTGACTTTTTGTGTTTCTTCTTGATCCTTAAAATATTGCATTTTTAAGGTTGGTGGTCTAACCTTATCTTGAACGTTATTCAGTGATAAACTTTACAATTTTGAATTGTTGAAAAAATAAATCTTTCAAAGTCCTCCAATCCTGAAGATGTCTCTCCTTGGCCCACCCCAACTCCGCCACCTCCCCCCCCCCCCCGCCGCCACATCTGGCGAGCCCTTCCTTGATCTAATGGACACCAACTTCTACGATCGCCAGCTGCTAAGTGGCCTCATCGAGAACAACTCTGCCACTTTCCTCTCCTCCGGCAACCCTGCCCTTGATTTCTTCTTCCAGGTTGTCCCTGACACCACTGCTGGCATTGTCACTGGACTTCTCTCCTCTGCCTGGACCCAGGATCCCTTGACTGCTCTCAAGCTCGTTGCCCTCCTCCATGGGGTCCACGGTACCGGCAAATCCGACCGAGAGGGGTTCTACGCGGCCGCCCTCTGGCTCCATGAAAACCACCCCAAAACCTTAGCTCTCAATGTTGTCTCCTTTGCTGAGTTTGTGTACATGAAAGATCTTCTTGAGATCTTATATGGTCTCCTACATGGAATTAATACCTGAAAACTTGCGAAAGATGAAAGAAGCAGAGCAAAGAATGATAGGCTACGACGATGGAGGCAGCACCAGGCTCCATCGATGAAGAAGCTTGGAAAGGGCCGAAAGGCTCAGAAGGTTGGGACCAAGGAGGAGAGGATTGAGGGGAAGATTTCAAAGCTCAAATCCAAGACTGAGAAGGCTGCAGAGCTGAGGCGATCGAAGAGGGCGGAACTTGCAAAGCTAGCCTTCGAGAGGTACAATAGAGACTCAAATTATTGGTTATTGCACGATCGTATCTCGGATTTGTTTTCAGCAATGTTGGCATCCGATGCTGAGCAGTTGAAATTAGGGAATCTGAACAAAATGGTGCCCTTCTCTTGATTCATCCTTTGACAGATCAACTCTGTTATGTGAGAGCATTGCTCGTCGAATGTGGCCTAAGTATTCAGTTGATGAGTATAAGGAGACTGAAGAAGAACACTATGCTTATCGGGTTCGTGATCGATTAAGAAAGGAGATTATTGTTCCAATCCGCAAAGTTATTGAGCTACCGGAAGTTTACATGAGTGCTGGAAAATGGGACCAGCTTCCATACAATCGGGTTGCCTCCGTTGCAATGAAAGCCTACACAAAAATCTTTAAGAAACATGATGAAACTAGGTTCTCAGACTTATCCAGAGTTAAAGAAGGGAAGGAGAAGATTGCAGCTGGGGCGTTGCTCCCTCACGAGATTCTTGCTTCAGCTAAAGATGAAGAGGCTGGTGATGTAGCAGAGCTCCAATTGAACGGAATGGATTTGCTTCAAAAGGGCAAGTTGAAGAACTGCATTGCAGTCTATGATGTCTCTGGAAGCATGTACAGGACTCCAGTGAAAGTCTGTGTCGCTCTTGGGCTGTTGATATCAGAGCTCAGTGAAGAGCCTTGGAAAGGGAGAGTGATCACTTTCAGTGCAAACCCTGAGCTTCATAGAATCGAAGGGGAGAAGCTTATGGATAAGATCTTGTTTGTGAAGAGAATGGATTGGGGAGGTAACACTGATTTCCAAAAGGTGGTCGATAGGTTGCTTGATGTTGCAAAGAGTGGGAAACTTAAGGAGGATCAGATGGTGAAGAGGGTGTTTGTGTTTAGTGATATGGAGTTTGATCAGGCTTCACCAAATTCTTGGGAGACTGATTATGAGGTGATATGTAGGAAGTTTAGGGATAACGGGCACAGGTCTTGCATACCAGAGATTGTGTTTTTGAATCTGAGGGATTCGAGGTCGATGCCTGTGCCTTCTAAGTAGAAGGGGTTGCATTGGTGAGTGGGTTCTCGAAGAATTTGTTGAAGATTTTCTTGGAAGGGGATGGAGAGATTGATCCGGTGATTGTTATGGAGGATGCTATTTCTGGCAAGGAGTATCAGAAGCTTATGGTGTTCGACTGAGAGGAGATTAATACAGTAAATATGACTCAAACCTTCTCTTTCGTGAAATGAGAATGCCAATCTTTCTAATTGAGCAATATGTTGAATTTTATTTAGTTTTGTTGTCAGTGATTCCAATGATATTGGATTATTGGTGCATTTCCTTTTTCTTGATTAATCTTTGCATGGTATTGTGTTATTGATCTTTATATCAAGTTTCTTGTTATTATATATTGCCTAATTGTTTTAGTTAGACACAATATTTGATGTTCTAATCTCATTGTTACCTGTTTGAAGTATGACATTTTGATTTAGGATATACCTTCGCTGATACACAATGTAAAATCATTTTGGTTTGTTGTGACAATATCTTGTTCTTTTATGGCAAGTTCTTATGGAGATACAATAAGGATGGTCACTGTGGTATCAATCAATTTTAGAAAACTACGATACCCAGTAAAGGAACTTTTTAAAGAATGAACCTATGGATCTGTACTAGCTTATTTTAACTTGTTTAGTAATTTTATTTCGTTACAGACTGAAGCTACCAAATTACTGTAAACACCGTCAAACCCAAATGAGAATGAATTTTGCTTTCAATTTGGTGTTTGAGAAATTTTTCACCTTTTTATACTTTCCTGTTTTCCTCAGAGAACTTCCATCTATACTATCTCGGGTAACTAGATTTCATTGATGTAGGTATATGATATTTTTGTTGTTTCATTTACTCACTATGCCTTCACTGCTAATTTTGCAATTGAGTAAGGTGGTTAGAATTGCTTGTTGCCATTTAAAATCCCCTGGTTACTGAGTGAGTTCTTCAAATTTCTTCATATATTTTGCATGTTTGGCTATTCGAATTTTTATGCTGATTGGATTGTTTTCTTAAATTTCTCTGTTTTTATAATGTTTGCTTGGTGTCTTGTTTTAATTTTATGCTGTATTAATTCTATGCTGTATTAACCTTGAGCTTGCTGATGCTATATCCTCACTAGTAGAAAATCACGTATCTTAGACGGAATATTCTAAACGGAAAATTTTCCATTTAGTTTGCTATTAAACTAGATGGAAAATTTTCGTCTAGAATATTCCGTCTAGGATAAAACATCCTAAACGGAATTTTCCGTCTACAATAGCAAAGTAGACGATTCTTTTATTTTAATTTTTTAAAAAAATGAGCCAAGTACCCTAGATGAAAATTTCCGTCTATGATGTATCAAGTTACTATAATGTTCTCTTCATTATGACGGTTATATCAATGCTTTGCGCAGTGGTCCTTATGTTTAGTTCGTCTTTCTCTGAAATGTATCCTTG